TTTGTGTGTGAGTGAGTGAGTGAGTGTGAGTGAGTGAGTGAGTGTGTGCGTGAGTGTGTGTGAGTGTGTGTTTGAGTGAGTGAGTGAGTGTGTTTGTGTGTGTGTGTGTGTGAGTGAGTGAGTGTGTGTGTGTGTGTGTGTGGGTGAGAGTGTGTGTGAGAGAGAGTTTGTGTGTGTGTGTGTGTGAGTGTGAGTGAGTGAGTGTGTTCGTGAGTGTGTGTGTGAGTGTGTGAGTGAGTTTGTGAGTGTGAGTGTGAGTGTGTGCGAGTGTGTAATATATATATATATAAATTATTCATACATACATGTAATAATAATAATGTATATTACATATATTATATATTACTATATAATAATAATAATAATGCTATGAATAAATATATTTTTGTTGATTTAATAAATATATGCATTTATTTTACCCCCTAATTTATTTATTTATTTATTTATTTATGTATTTATTGCAAATACAGTATATGCATAATTTCTTAATTAAATGATGGAAAACATAAAAAAATAATACAAAAAACCTATGCGCAAAGAATAATTTGGTGTAAAATATCACTGGTATTTTTTATCAAAACATCAGTCAATTTTCAGTCTTCAAAGTGCTATAATCAACAGGAAAATATAAAATAAATAATAATTTTGGGGTAAAATATATCAGATTAAAATGAAAAATATAATGAAAAATAAAATTAAAATGTAAATGGCAAAAACAGCTAAATAACTAAACAAAAAAAGAAACAACTGCAAGCACACACATATATACTGTATATATATAGGGTAAAATATCACATTTTCTAATAGTTTTCATCAGATTCAATCTTCTGTGTGCCATGGATGCTGTAATTATTTTAATCGGACAAAATCAAGCAACAGATTTGACCGATTTTCTGTCAGTCTGAGTGTTTGTGTGATTATGTTCATATATCTCCTGATATCTGGCTTCTCGGTGCGAGTCTCAGAAGATCTTCATCGGCTGCTAAACCTGCTTCTGCTTCACTGTAGAGACGAGACTAACTGTGTGTGTGTGTGTGTGTGTGTTCGTCCAGCTGAAGAACATCGACCGTCCTCATGACCAGGAGAAGATCCCGCGGGCGCCTCACGACCGCAAGAAGGATTGGCAGAAGATGGCTCTGGGGCCGGAGCTCGCCGCGGACGAATCCGAAGACAAACACAAAGACACCAACGGATCAGCAGCCTACCACGAGCACAGGTGAGCGAGCGCTTCTCAAACTAACACACGAGTCCTCACAAGGAGAAGGTTCATAAGTGCCACAATTATAATTCTTCTAGCTAATAATTGGATTAGAGCTGGATTAAGAATCATGTCAGTGTTATAATTGGTAACTAAAACTAAAATATAAAACAAAACAAAAACAAAAAATATTTTATTTCACATTATATCGACGTTTTAAAACAATAAAAACTGATAAAAATTTGAAAAAAATTACAAAATTAAAAAAAAAATTACATTTAAAATTAAAACAGAAAATTTATAAAAAATAATAATAAAAATAGTAAAATATATAAACAAATAGATAAAAAAAAACTGGTTCTCATAGAGATCAATTAACTTCTGAAAAGCCAAAATTACAAATAACAAAAAAATTACAAAAATGTTAACTTAATGTAAAATGAAACCAGAAAATATAAAAAGTAATAAAATAATGTAATATTTGAAAATGTATATATATATATATAATAAAATAACAGATTAGTGGACATTTGATATGGATTTTTCTTAATGTAAATACAATTAAATTCAATACAATTATAAATAATTTTAGCAATTGCAATGTACACACACACTGAAATTTACTGCTACGTCTTTACACAATATTTACTCAAAATTCACCAAAAATATTTAGAAAAAATAATGCAATTTTTACATTTTCATTATACACACACACACACACACACACACACACACACACACACAGTTCCAGCACAGTGCTCCCTATATAGGCAGCTGCATACTAAGACAGAAACGTTGATTGAGCAGCATGCAACAGTCGGTTCTAGAAGTAAAAATGCTATTCATTTTCTCCATAATGGAAATTATTTTTAATGATAACTTATACACATTCAAATACAGTGAGCTAGGAGTTTGCTAATCAATGGCAAATGTTTTTGTTGAAGCCATCAGCCTGCATTATTTCAACTTAGCTTTTAAATAATCACATTTTATGTTTTAAACAATAATAAATTAAAATGACAAAAAAAAAATTATTATGATTTTAATGATGATTAATAGTGGAACATTCTGTCTGAACATCTGAACTCATACTCAACTTTCATTAATACATTTAATTAATTATAATAAAAAATAATTAATGCAATAAATAAGTACAATTAATAAATCAATGTAATTAATAAAAATTCTAAACATAGTAAGCAAATGTAAAAATGTATATAATTAAAAATATAATTAATAAAAATTTTAAATGCAATAAATATATGAAATTAACAAATTTATATAATTAAAAATATATAATTAATGCAAAAATATTTATGCAATAAATAAGTGCAAATAATAAATCGATATAATTAAAACGTAATTAATAAAAATTCTAAACATAGTAAGCAAATGTAATTAATAACTTAATATAATACAAATATAATTCATAAAATAATTAATTTAATAAATACATGAAATTAACAAATTTATATAATTAAAAATATATAATTAATGCAAAAATATTTATGCAATAAATAAATGCAGTTAATAAAGCAATATGATTCAAATATATAATTAATAAAAATTCTAAACATAGTAAGCAAATCTAATTAATAACTTAATATAATTAAAAATATAATTAATAAAACATTTAATTTAATAAATATATGAAATAAACAAATTTATATAATAAAAAATATATAATTAATGCAAAAACATTTATGTAATAAATAAATTCAATTAATAAATCAATAAACTTAAAATATATAATTAATTAAAAAAATTACCAAAACTTTTTTTTTAATACCCCTATGGGAAAAATGAATGGAATAAATACTTTGGGAAAACAAAATGTTTGCAAGCTAGCAACATGCTAATCAAATAACAAAACAAGCATAAAAAATGTGTAGCAAACACAAATATTTAGTAAAATGTCTAGATTTAATTAGATTAAGTTATCTTATACTTTTTAGTAGTGAACTATAAAGGTGAATCTCATGAAAACATGTCACACAGGTCACATTTCACCACAAAATCAAAAGAAATAAGGTTTGCATAAAGAAAATTAAACCTGTTTTTTAGTAAAATGGCCAATTTTGAATTGGACTGAATTATTTTATCACTACTTTTTAGTACTGAATTAAAGGGCGAGTCCTGTGATGCGATTTCAAGTTTTTCTTTCTCTTTGGAGTGTTACAAGCTGATTGTGCATAGATAAGATCCCTGAAGTTGCAAAGACTAAAGTCTCAAAACCAAAGAGATATTCTTTATCAAAGTTAAGACTCTGCCACGCCCCCCTAAAACGGCTCGTTCTAACACGCCCCCACATATCTACCTCACTATGTGGAAATATTTGCATAATGCGCCCAAATGTTCACGCAAAGAAAGAAGGCAGTAACGCAGTAACTGCAGTTAGTGTTGAAGCAGCATGTCAGGGAGACGCTGTGTGTTTCTAGGGCTCCGCCCCTTCACTCATCTCCCGCCCGCGGACAGCTGGACAAGACTCCGCTCACAGCTGGAGACGGAATGGTTTTGCCACCTCCTCCGCCGCCGCCTCCTCTGCCCCTCCCAGGAAACAGAGGCTCCTCCCCCTGCACATCCTCAGGCCCGCCCACCTTGCCTTCCTTCCCATCAGGAGCGGTTTCGTCGCCGCCCACTCACTCGGGTCACGAGGTCAAGAGGTATCCATCCAACCTGCCGCCAATCAGCGACGCCCGCAGCGTTCTATTGGAAGCCATCCGTAAAGGTAGGCGGAGTTTCACTCAAGTTCACTCATATATGCAAATCAGGTATCTGTCCAAAATCTACACTAAAAGTAGTTGCACATTACAATGAATTGATAGATACTTGAATATTTTGTAATAAAAATGTTATATTTTTAGGTTTATTTTCATAGCTGATTTGATTTCGTCATTCGCAATTTACAATCATTCCCTTCTAAAAGACGTTTAGTACACAGAAAGCTGAATTCAGAATAGCATACTAGCATACTGCTCTTACTATTTCTGTCATATCTTTACATATTTTAATATGCTAGTATGCTATGCTGAATTCAGCCAGTCTTTGTCTTTTCTCCTATTTTCATTTTGCCCACGAATCAAATGTTTTGAATTTTCTAAAATCGCTAAGGAGAAATTAAATGGAACAAAATGCTTCAGGAATTGCCTACTGATGCACAAGTAGATTATTAAAAATGTTTAAAAATCACAAGAAAAAAGAAACAATAAACAATGATAGTAAATAAACAAGAAAAACTTAATTAAATGAATAAATTGATAAAATAATAAAAAAATTATAAATGTAATTAATAAATATATTTAATTAAAAAATATATATTTAATAGAAACATTTAAATGCAATAAAAAGTGCAATAAATGAATAATAAAAATGAATTAATACACATTATTAATATAATAAATAAATCAATAAAATCAATAAATTAGAACAATTTAACCTATATAATTAAAAATGATTAATGCAACATATAAATTAACGTGATTTAAATATATAGTTAGTCAAATATAAATTAATGATTAAATATAATTAATAAAAATTATGAATATAATACATTTATAAAATAAAATATTAGAATAATTAAAAATAAAAATAATAAAAAATAAGTATAATATAAAAAAATTTATATAATTACAAATTAATACAATAAATTAATATAATTTAAATACATAATTAATATGGATATATTAAATGAACAAAATTAATAAACTAGTACAATAAAAAATTATAACTAATAAAAAATATTATAATAATATTTAAACTCATACGTGCACATAATTTAAATATACAAGTAATTAAAAATTATAAATGCAATTAATAAATTAATATTATTAGAAAATATAAATTAATGAATTAATAAATTAGGATAATTAAAAATATTAATTTTTAAAAATGTACATGCATCAAATAAATAACAAGTAGCTCTGTTGAAACTTACGATTGTGAGTTCTAGTACAAGCAATGCATTAAATATGTAATATATATATAGACCGTAGATCAGACAGTAGGTTTGAGTCCCAGAGAAAGCAAGAAGTGCTCAAATGTAAACGCGTGCATTGAATGCAATGTCTGTCTCACTGGAGCGCATAAATGTGAATGCAAACATAAGGAGCTGTACCTCGGTGTGTCTCTCAGGGATCCAGCTGAGGAAGGTGGAGGAGCAGCGGGAGCAAGAGGCCAAACACGAGCGCGTGGGGAACGACGTGGCCACGATCCTGTCGCGCCGCATCGCGGTGGAGTACAGCGACTCCGAGGACGAGGACGAGTTCGACGAGGTCGACTGGATGGAATGAGACGAAGACGAACGTCACGAAATCTCAGCTAACCTTCTTCCCACAAACACTCTCCGATCCGTCGCAGACTAATTCAGGAAACATCGGGACTGCGGACGACTGTATTCAACGTTCCCAGAATGCTTTGCTTTAATGTTTTTTAACCACTTGTTGTGCAATTGATGAATGAAAACCGGTCATATTTCTTTCATTTGAATTCATCCGTCTTTTGTTGTTATAGTTGGGCGCGAGAGACGACAGCGGCCTCTTCTGGTCACGACAGGAACGTCTCGATGTGACGGATGATTATTATACTTTCTATATCATCTAAACCGTTCTTCCTTTACAGAGACGTGATGTTGGATGTCACGGTGTGCTTGCGATGGACAAAGTCAAAGGGGAAAAAATGAAGGAACGTTTTTATTAACGTGACAAGACGACTAAAATACATGCCTGAATCTCTTTTCCAGGTTATATTTCACCTCACACTAAATATTGAAAAAAAATTCAATAAACAAATGAAATTAAATATGTAATCCCCATTAGGATATATATCTCTGGTTTTAATTATATTTCCATGTTTCGCATTGTGATCTTTGATGAAGTATGAATTTTGTTGTACACTACAGTAGTGAGACATTTTTTAACATATATATATATAAATGTGTTTATTAGGAATTTTGGTAAAAATGTGTTGAAATATATTTATATATATATATATACACATACATATCATTTAAAAAATATTTTACTTTTTCCTCCAAAATAATAAATACATTTTTAAAATGTAATTTTGACATTTAGTCCTAAAATGTCCTTAATTTTCTGTCTTTTTTTTTTTTTTTTTTAGTATTTTATTTTATTCTTAATTATTTCTTTGATTTTGGGGTGAAATGTGACATGTTTTCATGACATTCATCCACTGAAATATTGACAACGTCCCATAAAGGTCCAACAAAAAAACATTGTGGGCTTTTTCTGGGGTCTATATTAATTGTAATTTATTGCATCTCTCAATTTATGAATTTTTTTTTTTTTTTTTTTTTTTGCCAAAACGGTTTTTTTTTTTAGTATTTTATTTTATTCTTAATTATTTCTTTGATTTTGGGGTGAAATGTGACATGTTTTCATGACATTCATCCACTGAAATATTGACAACGTCCCATAAAGGTCCAACAAAAAAACATTGTGGGCTTTTTCTGGGGTCTATATTAATTGTAATTTATTGCATCTCTCAATTTATGAATTTTTTTTTTTTTTTTTATTGTTTGCCAAAACGTGAGAACAGACCTAGTCATATTTCAAACCAGACTTTGTGAGTGAACGAGATTGTCCGTCTGTGTGTTGGGACTGAACGCTGGTTTCTCTTTCTTAGGCCTTACGGTTCGTATAAATGCTGATGAGTTGAATGTATTGTGCCGTTACTACTTTTGCCTGCATTTCTCCAGCATTCGCTGTTTCTATGTTCCAAACGGAAAAAAGAGTTTCAGAAACAAAGATTAAACATGATTTAAAATACTGTATATCGTATAATGTATGTAACAGTTTGCTTGAATTAATAAAAACTGATGTTCAAGGTTCTGGCAGGATACTGAATTATGGGGTTGTCCATTCATAAGAGGAGTTTGGTGACTGAAACAGAAATATTTCTACATTTATGTGCATTTACACAAACCCTTACATGTAAAATAAAGGCATGCATGTACACAAGAGTCGCAGAAAGTAATGCATCACAAGCTTGAAGTTGTTGATTTTCCTGCAATGCTGACAGAAAACAAGATTGAAACGTTGATTATCAAAACAACGGCAATGTTTAAGATGCCCAAAGATCAATAATATTGATTTGGTGAATCTTAAAAGAACTCAAATATCCACAGGGCAGAAATGAAAAGGAAAAAAAAAAAAATTATTTTACATAAAGAAATTTATTTTTATATTATTTTAAGGAGATTTTTGACATTTTAAAAATATAATCTATTTTGGTGTGAAATATGACCTGGAGGAAGTTTCAGAGATTTTCAGATAATTAAAAAAAATTGCAAAAAAAAAAAATGCATGAAGAAATAATATTAAATTGTGCATTTTTATTTTATTTTATATTATTACAATTATAATTATTATTATTATTATAAATAAAACAAATTCATTTTGGGGTGAAATATGACCTGGACACGTTTTCGGATATTTTAGGTATCACCATATCTTAGCTTAACCTGAACTACCATTCTAACAAAATAATTATAGATAATTTGGTAGTTTTTATACAATTGTCACATTTTTAATAGATTTGTTGCTTTTTAAAAACATTTACAATTTTACACACATCAACCCAATCCTAAATCTTTCAGGAGCCGTCAGTACAACACAGTATTTCACATTCAATCTGAACCTGAGGTTTGGTTTTAAGCAGATGAATGTCACTCACCAGCGCCGCCTGTCTGCCAATCAGAGAAGTGCATCAGCCCAAACCCGAACTGCAACGAGCTGCTGTGACCTGCAGGTGGCGCTGCAGAATCAATAAGCAATCCCTGAGAGTTTTGAGAAAAATGCATGTAAATGGAAAGCCATCTCAAGTAAAAATCCCAGACCGACACACGCTCCAACTCTCTAAATTTAAAAACTTTCAATTACTTTAATAGTGTGATCACATGCAATATTGCCCCTGGAATAAATGAAATAACAATACTATCTGTCCTCTGTAGATCCCGCCCTCTCGCACGACACGATTGGTCGATTATGTACAATCCCTGCACGCTATTGGTCAAACTACTTTTCAGTCATTCGCTTCAGCAAGTATGAAAACAATAACGCTGCATACTTCCCTACTATATAGTATGCATAAAGCAGTATGTGAGGCGAGTAGTGTGTCCGAATTCATAGTATTCGAAAAACGGTAGGCGAAAAGTACCCGGATGAGCTCCTCCTTCTGGCGGGATTCTGAAGTGCGCATTCGATGGACAACGGATGCTGGTAGGTCACGTGACCGTAACATGGCGGATGTGGTACGTCCAAATTTCATTCATACTACCCATATATTCATACTATATAGAAGGTCGTGAAGTAAATTCAAACTCGAATGTAGTACCTACTCGGACAGTACGTGATTTCGGACGCGCACCGTAAGAAAACAAACCCAAACTCGGGCATTTTAGGCAATTTAGACACAGATATGTATAGGTGGACTCCATATTCGACTGCTCCAGAAATGTCGACGCATCCGCCATATTGGAACGGTCTATATTTCATTACTCACAATAAAAATCAATTACGGTGCGTCTGAAATCACATACTGTTGTTAGCATGTTCTTTGCATGATTAGTGTGCTGCTTGCTAGCATGATTAGGATGTAGTTAACATTTTGCTGGCATGTTTCTAGCATGATTAACATGTTTCTAGCATGATTAGCATGTTTCTAGCATGATTATCATGTTGCTAGCATGATTAGCATGTAGTTATCATTTTGTTAATCATGTTTCTAGCATGATTAGCATGTTGCTAACATGTTTTAACATGTTTAGCCTGTTACTAGCATGCTGCTAGCATGATTAGCATTTTATTAACATGTTGTTAGCATGTTTTCTAACGTGATTAGCATGTTGTTAGCATGTTGCTAACATGTTTCTAACATGATTAGCATTTAGTTAACATTTTGTTAATCATGTTTCTAGCGTTGATTAGCATGTTGCTAACATGTTTTAACATGTTTAGCCTGTTACTAGCATGTTGCTAGCATGATTAGCATTTTGTTAACATGTTATCATTTTTCTAACATGATTAGCATGTTTGCTAACATGTTTCTAGCATGATTAGCAGTTTGTTAACATGTTGTTAGCATGTTTCTAACGTGATTAGCATGTTGTTAGCATGATTAGCATGTTGTTAACATGTTTCTAGCATGATTAGCATTTTGTTAACATGTTGTTAGCATTTTTTAAATGTGATTAGCATGTTGTTAGCATGATTAGCATGTTGCTATCATGTTTCTAGCATGATTAACATGTTTCTATCATGATTCGCATGTTGCTAACATTGTTAACATGATTTAACGCACTGCTAGCATGTTTTAACATCATTTATCTTAATGCTAGCATGTTTTAACATGATTTAGCACACAGCTAGCATGTTTTAACATCATTTATCTTAATGCTAGCATGTTTTAACATGATTTAGCACACAGCTAGCATGTTTTAATACATTGCTAGTATGTTTTAGCACATTGATACCATGATTAGCATTTTGCTAGCATGAATTAGTGCATTAATAGCAAGTCTTAGGCTATTTGCTAGGCTTGGCTAGGCTTAAACTAGTGCGTTTTCATTTTAAAACGCGTAACTTTTGCTACGGTTATGCCTCTCATGGCGTTTTCGACCCTCGAAAACAGAGACTTTCGGAAAAACGCTGCAGACCCCGTTTTAGTTCGAAAACTCAGCGTAAACGGACCAAAACGGAGACTTTTTGGAAACGATGGCGTGGCTGGCCACATTAGCTCTGCGTATCCTTGACGACCGTGTAAACAATGACATCATTAGAAATAGTAGCTTGATTGAGTCTCAAGGGATTCTAGAATTTTGACAGTGGGATTTTGATGATTTTTAATCTTCATTTTTAGGAAAACCGTACGTCCGATCAGCCTGAAAAGAGCAAGCAACACGAGTCAGAACAATCTGAAGATCTGGGCTGAGTTTGGTGGTTCTAGCTGGAAAACTCTAGGAGGAGTAGCATTCAGAAGTTTAGTCTAAGAAGAATAAGAAGCTGCTCAAGTAGCATATCTTTCTCAAGCCAACTTAAAAAGTTAGTGAAAAAAGTCACCCTAAAGACTTTAATGCTGCAGCAAGAATGTGACAACGAAGCCTTGAGGCCAAAAATATAACGGCATGTGCTGAACCTCACTCATTTATGCGTTTATTGAGCTGCTGGTGCACAGAGACTGAAGTATTTACTACAGTCTGCACTTTCACCTAGAACACTAATCGAGTTCCATTAAATGTGTGTTCACTGTTTGTGTGTAGTTTTTACATTTTTACTGAGATGTTTGTATAATTACTTGGTTGTTTGATTAAACTCATATAAAAATGACCAAATTATTTATAACTATTTAATAAGTTATGATATATAACTATCTAAAGGGGTTCATCTCTGAAAACTTGTCCAGAACATATCCAGGTCATATTTCATATCATTTAAAATAATATAAAAACAGCATCTTTTATGGAATATATTATCTTTTGGTTTTATATATATACATACATATATACACACACACACACACACACACTCTCTCTCACACACTCACACACA